CTATTTTCATTGTAGGTTCAAGATCTAGTAACCGTTCATGTTCCGTTACAATTTTGCAAAAAGAAAGTTACTATACAGACAGTTCTGAATACCATGGACTGTACGCATGAGGATTTTATTGCCCTCTTGCAAAACTTTTGTGCAAGAGGATCCGCTGTAGAGGACAAATCAATCAGCGCACATGAAACTAAACTGTCCTTCTCTAGAAAGAATGTCCCTTGCACATAACTAGACAACCATTAATCGCGAGTTAAAAAGTTTTGTTTCGCGTACATTAGTTGATACGTCACATCAAATTCGACGGCGGGGATATCAAAGCTAGGTAGTTATTTCCGGACATGTTTGTGTTACCGCCCCTGAACAATTAAAGGTCTGCTTTGGCCACTCTTAAGTGAGACTTTCGTGGACGGTACTCTGTGATATTTTGGTTTCAATACGCTTATGATGAAAGTTCGCACTATCTTGTCCTTCTCCGAAAGATAACGAATGGTTCAGAGCTAGTTGCTCAAATCATTGCAAGGATCATATCAACACCATAGTTCAACTTACGCCACAACATGCGTACCTCGATCACACCTCAATCACGTACATCACTTCTGCAAGTGAGACAGTTATGGCCTCTTAATGATGCCATTAAGAGTAGCTTTGGCCACTCTTAGTGACGCCGCCCAAATCCACTCTTTGGCTCCCTTAATGACGCCGCCTATAACACCAAGTTCTCGCAAATTAAGCTCTGAACTTGTCATCTATATAATTACATTCTCCACGCCAAGACGTCGTAAGTTGAAGTGCATGAATTCCACCACATCGTGCCAAGATTTCTCGCTGTCTCTGTTGAGGCTTGGGCACGGAGATAGATGGGGCCTGAAACGAATTTTATGCATTACTCCAGCAAGCAATCTATACTTCTTGTCGGCGAAGGAGACTTCACCTTCTCATCTGCATTGGCGAGTGGATTAGGACAGTCGTTTGAACTCATTGCAACTTCGATTAATTCCGAAGGTAGTCTTGCATATTCTTTGGCTGGAGTGGTCATCTGAGAGGTGATGTGGATAGTAGCTGTCACAGCGTGTGTTGAGAAAGGTAGCGAAAACATTCTGATAGGTTCTTCAGGCCTCAGCGCTTTCCGGGATGGTATGAAATCATGAATTTCATTGCTTGTGGGTCACATCACTAAAGCACTGGCTGCTTTTGGCAACAGGGTATATACGGGCCAAGTATGCTCAGGCTATCAAAGCCGTAACTAACTTGAGGGAGCACGGAGCTAGGATTATTTATGACTTTGACGCAACGAAGAACATTTTCAGCAACACGCGACGTTTTCACCGTGTCGTTTTCAACTTCCCTCACGCAGGATACTTCAGCAAACCTGAGTGGGTTAAGAGCGTCATAAGGTTAAGGAAATTCGTGTCTCACCTTCATCTCTGAGTGATGTTATGCGTCCACATTTGCTCCCGTCCATGAATATTGAATAGAGCAAGCATTTTTGTGACAGACGCACTTGCAAATTGACAGAGTGAATCAATAGACATCGAGAGTTTTGAATTTGAAGCGAAAATCCTTTTTATTCGAGATACCCTGTACATTGCGTGCAAATCAGGAATCCCATCAGTTGTCCAACTCATCGTGTGCAGAAGTCATCAGGACCTGATTATCCGCTTCTTGCTGAATGCATCGACGATGATTCGAAGTGACGGTGAGATTCACGTGACAATTCAGGATTACGATCCATACAACAGGTGGAACATTGCGGAGTTAGCACGAGAGTGTGGCCTTAGTGTCAAGGGATCATTCCTGTTTGAATTCTCTTCTTACCCTGGCTACTGCAACCGTCGGGGAAGCGGGAAGCGGCCTGGTAGAACTTTCCCTGTTGGCCGCGGTTGTATTCGGACTTACCAGATTGGCTATTAGCCCTGAAGGAGAAGATGCCAAATGATATTACACATCTATTGTACAAGACATGGGTTGTGTTCATATGCACTGAAACGCTTGAGTTGCTTGAAGCCATTATCCAGATCAACTTGTATACTCCTGCATATGCTCCCTGCAAAAGTAGACTATAAGTCGATCTGAGCTCGTCTTCAACACGGAAAGTCTCCATGAACGCTCTATCAGAATCTGTGAATCGTGAAGGGTGTGAATCCACAGGTGCGCTAGCAAGAGCGCTTCCAATGCCTTCACTCGAGAAAATGAAAGAGTCGATGACCAGACACTTTGACAACTCTGTGCTGACTGTATACATCGGCATTGCGTTGCCTTGGTTCTCTACCGACTTTATGACGTTCAGAAAGATATACTTGCCCTCAGTAATAGTCTTCATTCAGTACTTCAAACCTGTCTGCATTCATCTAGGCCGCGTTTCTGACCCTGATATTGTTTAATGTGTACAATGTGCAATAGTTCGTGTGATTTGCCAATTCTTGGCAACATGTTGCGGTTTCGAGATTTGAGGCCGTACTGTACATTTGCCATACGGGCAGAAGAGTAGAAAAGATGGTGCCCAATGTAGAGGGTAAAAGCCAGAGCAGACACTGCTGTCATAATTAATTCGACGATCTTGCCAATGGAGTATGCACTCTTAGTTCCAACAGCTTTAAGGCCATCCTAGGCGATGTCTTGAATGAGATACGAGAAGTTTCAGTGCAAGTTTATCTCTTTGAAGGCTTTGTCAAGTAGCGATCATTGGCATGGCTTTCCGACGACAATCTTCTCAAATTTCGTTCTATTTGGATTCACTCCTCTTTACGCCTTAAAACACTGTCATTTCTTCGTAAAGTGAGAAGTAGCAGGAGAAATAATGTCTTCCCTGTAATTACCATTCTACGTTTTCATGAGGCAGGACGAAGAACTCTACTCGAGAAGCTGGAAGCTGGAACAAAAGGTATTCGAGCCAAAAATTGGGGTTAGATACTTGCATCATAGCGTGAGCTTGTGAATGAAGTATATGTTTTCTCTGCGAGAACATGCTTTTGATGTGACCCCTTATTCCCAGCATCTGTTGATGGCGACAATGTTATGAGAGTAGTCATATTTAGAAAAACAATAGAGGTAAGGTCTGGAAATGCTTATTGAGGGAGCACAACCACGGTTTTAAAAATCCTTCCGGACGTCACTTTTCAGAAATATTCGTAGTATTGGGCAGAAGGCAATGTTTTCATCGTTTCCCTTGAGATGGCTTGAGAAACATTCAGATAGTTCAACTTAGTAAGGCTACTAGTGACACCGGATGCGTAGCGTTGATGAGACCCTAAGACAAGGTGCTTGAGCCCAAGAGCATTTTCATCGGGGTAGAGTTCGAAGTAGGTTTTTTGGACTTCAATTTTTGAAGTTCAGTATGAAAGTGGTTATTGTGAATAATAGTTATTGGAAAAGATTCTATTTTGTAATTATTATATTGGAAAATAGAAAGTGGATTTGGTTTGTTAATAATTTATTTTATATACTATGATTATGAAATGATTATTTTTTATAATTTGAGATTAGAAAATATTATTTTTAAAATTAAAAATTGAATTTTGTGATGAAAGTGAATTCTTGCAAGTCATCGTGATACGTTTGAAAATCTTTTGGTGATATATGGTAGGTGTAATTTGGTTATTGAGTGTGTAAAGGGTGATGTATGGGAGATTTGATTTGGTTATTGAATGTGTAAGTGCGGTTGATCTACTTGTAGAATCAGTCTACTGAAGGGTGCATCGGAGTGAATTGATCTAACTAGTATGGGCTGCTGCAGCACAATGGCACACTTGAATGTACTCACTTGGCAAGGTTTGCATTGAAACCACGTGAGGGAGCTACTCGTGTCTCGAACGAGCATGACTTTTTGTTCACGATGTTGTCCGTTGGTACTGGTTATATCTACTTGTAGATCAACCGCACTCAACTCAAGTGGAGTTGTCGATGATATGGAGAATTGAACATCAATTTTAAATTTTAGTGTAAATTTGAATCTGGAATATTTGAGTACTAAAATGTTCAAAATTAATGAAATGGGTTGATATTTTGGAATATTAAATTGAAATCATTTGAAAAATATTTGAGACATAAATATTTGAAGTTCAAAATTTGATGTTTCAAAATTTTTGGCCGAAAATAGAAACAATATAATATTAGATAGGTTGGTTTGAAATTTATGGGGGTGATAAAAAATCTAAAGTTACAGATTTCAAACAAAGTTCATAGTGTTAGAAATGTGATGTTTAGAGGTCTAAAATGGGAGTTGATTTTTAGATTTCCGGAAAAATTTAGAACTAAATTTACATTAGATAATAAACTGACAATGGTTAGTTTAAGTCACTATTGATCTAGTTATTTAGTACTTTATAGTTTGAAATAGATTATTTTAATATTTGGAAGATCTGCGGATGGATAATTATATTTTTCGGAGTTAATATTTTGAGGAGATTGAGTTCATATTCAATATTGATTTCTAAATTATATTTTTATTATTTTGAGTAGAAGGAGTGAACATGCGCGGTTTATAGTTTGAAATAGATTATTTCAAACTATAAGATGCGTGGTATCGGTCCCGTCCCTCTCGCATGCTGAACTCTCAACCAACTGAGATGCATCCCCCTTGCCCCACTGCACCACTTGAGCTAAATACCAATATAATTTCGTTTCTTCTTTAAGGACTGATGCAGCTTGCTCAAGTAAATTTCTTATGCAGCTCTTTCTCACAACAATTTTTTTTCAGTTGGTGTTATTCAAAGCACATGAATTCAAGTCGAGATTGCATGAAAGTGGTGTTCTCAGTACAGCTGTGTATTATCAGCGATTACCCCCATGAGAGTTAGATTTCCATTTATGTGAACAGAGGAGTGGAGACTTGTACACTAAACATTACGGAGCATCATTAAATTATCTGGTAATGGAGTTCTGGGGCAGTAGCTCGTAAAAGCTTTTGTTGCGAGCTGTGGACGGTGAGGCTCTACATACTTGGTGCCACACGTAATGGAAGCGTGGAGAAATCAATCTGTTGTGGGCTATCAAGAGGATGGCATCCGAAATGGGGGTCAATCCAATGACTTTCTGATAACGAAACAGACGCTCTATCCACTGAGCTACAGGCTCCTTACATGTACGAAACTCAAATTTTTTTCTCACTTAAAAATCTAGCATATCAAATCGAGTCCTGGCAACTTGGCTCTTTCTGTACTCCTGGAGAAAGCTGCAGGATATGAAACCTTCACTGGCTTAAACTTTACTGGGACGGTGTTGATGTTCACTCTCGGAATACGTGTTACGATTGCATCTGCGGTATATGACCATAGAATATTCTCTGAATTAACTCTGACTAACCTCTTCCTTTGGTTAAACTTTGTTAAGAGGGCCAAGTCGGTTTCAGTCTTTCCAGATGTTGCTTATATTTATATATATGGCCCTAAATGCCCTTTCTGACAATTTCGACACTAAGTTTAATTTTCTGCACATTCTCTATTCGTGGGTATACATCTTCAAGAAGATGAAAATATTGGGAACTGGTAACCTCATCGCTTTCGATGATATGGGTTAGAGAAAAGATGTATAGTGTTTGATGGTGTGAGTTCATATTCTATATCTGACACTATGATGAGGTTGGAGTTAGTCTTGGAAAGAATTCATAGGTCGCAACCTTTAACTCTACTTTGGAATTTTTTGCATGATTGACGAGAGACTACCAATGGGTGAGAATTGACAAGTTACAAGACTAAGAAGAGTCTTCAAGAGACGTATACTCGAATGCGTTGATTGATGTGTTATCCGTAGGATGATAGAGACACAAGTTGTACAATATTGGTATGGGATATTGGACAGGGCTTGAGACGTAGAGTGAGAGATGATACCTTACTACAGGAGACATTATTTACATCGACCATTTTGTTTTTTCTTGCTGAGCGTATTGAGTTTAACATGCAAGAAGAGAGTGTGACAATTATTGGATTCAGAAGGATTTATCAATTTCATCAATTTCTTCACGTTCTTACTCTACAACACAAACCCTGAGTGGTTATAGTAGACATGTGGGAGAGTCTCGACCATCCGGGCAGAGTGATGAAGGTGTTTCATCCAGACCATTGTCATCATTTTTAGGCCAACGATCAGTTGTTGGGATGGGGTGATGGATCTTATCACAAGAAGTATTGCCTTTTTATGTCAAAGGATGGATTCAATTGGACCATGTTTATGAAAATGTGAACATTTTCATAAACATGGTCACATGATGGATCATTGTTTTGATCTCCATCAAAAATTACAATAACAAGAGTTGCCATGAGGTGAACATGCCCATGAGGCTAGTCATGAGGTGAACATGACATCTCGATTGTAACAGTTTGAGTACAAGATAGCAAGTATGGCTATAGCCCAACAAAGATGAGATTCTGGAGCTAATGCCTCTATATCATATGATGGAGATGTTGTGTAGTACATATGCGCAGCGACACAACCATGTGTAGTTGCTATGACTCATAGTGCAACACATACTACTTAGTCTAGAGGAGCGTTCGTGGAGTTGGATCCACAAAGAGGGAGGCTAGCCGACAAGTTAGACTTCCTTAGTATTTCATATTGTCTGAACATTCTTATCCATGGCTCCTAGACAACCTAGAGGAGAGATGAAGATGCAAGTCAATGTGGATGTATTTGGAGATGGAGCAAGTAGGGAGCACCCATCAACATCATGTGAGGTAACATCTAGCACAATTTTGGGGGCGTCAAACGCTCCTGTTCTACAACAGGAGCACATGCTATACTTACACTTGCAGAGTCGTACGATGTATTGATGGATGCTGCAGTGTTATACTCGATGGGGTTTAGCATTGATTATAAGGAGGAGTCAGTCTCTTATCGACCAGGTTGGCAATCTGGTGAGGATTGAGTGAGTCGATTACCTGTACGATTTATAACTTGTGCTAGGCCTTTACTAAGTGGAGGTTTGACATATGTTGAAGCCTTGAGTACTTGTGTTACTTGGCCTAGTGATTTGTTGGAGTACAACATGGATGCACATGATAATCTTTATCTAGAGGATGTGGTTATCATGTCAAGTCTTAGTGGAGTAGTGTCATCCATATTGGATGGATCACTATGTACTTCATGTATCCAACTACTATAGATGGCAGATCAGGTCATATATTAGGCTTGGAGTGAGTCTTTTGCTCCGCAGAGGGAGGAGATGAAGGAAATTATTTCTACTTCCAATAATGTTGTCACCTTTAGATACAACACCTATTACTTGACAATATCTAGAGGAGGGTATATGTGTGTTGGATCTGTTTGAAGAAATTAGCACAGGTTTGGCTGTTGTTTTGCAAGTATATCGATACTTGTATGTGGAGAGAGACGAGATTACAAGGCGCGTCTCATTACGCCATATGGCAAATGACTTTGAATTACCTTCATCATCATGTCATTTTGATGCGAGTATCATGTGCCATTTAATTTTGACTGCAAACATAGAAGACAACTGAAACAACTATGGATGATGGTAATGTCTTCCACTTGTTCATGTTTTTCAACAGTTTCCCTGACAACATTTTGGTCCCTCGTTGAATTTGTGCAGGGCAGCTTGGAGAGGATAGTTTGTGTATGTTGTGATTGGATTTCTTTGGCGTCAACTAGTGATAATATGCAACGTAGTCTAAAATTGTAAAGTTTTTTTTTGTTTTAGTTCTTATGTATGTATGTTTTGACCTTTTGTATGTTCGCATGCAACTTTTTTGTTCTATCTGTTAAGAGAATACTCTTAATTTTAGCCAATCTGAGCGTAATTATAATTTTAGTTTTCTGATTCAAATTTTACACCAAGGCTATGATACCATGTTTTTGCTTCTTGCAGGAATACATGTGACAGGAGCACAAGCAGAAATAGATTTTACAAATAAGTAGAACTGAAAACCTATATCCTGTCATGGACTAAGTACTAGACTAGAGATCAGATCGGGTGCATTGCCACCCCAGACCTGAGGAAAAGTTCATGGTAGAACAGTTATTAACTGCTCGATCGTATATCTCCAATAATAATTTGGGAAGCGTGCATCCAAAGTGCTGGCACTTATTCCAATACTAGAGTGTGGATAATATATAAACTGGCCAAGAACCCACAGACTCAAGCTTCACTGCAGAATTATATTTTACTCGTTACCTTGGATCGGGAGAATGCCAAACTTGGATCGATTGCCTTCTTCGCGAATACTCTTCAGACTATGTAGTCCAGAGTTACAAAGATGACTAAATGCATGTTTCTCTTCTTTGCTAGTGTGGTTTGATCCCTCATTCCCTTGGGAACGAGTCAATCAATACAAATTTGGACTTGGTAATGCATACCCGTGCTATTACAATCCTCCGTTCTCCTCTACAGTTGTCAAATGCGTATCGCCAAAAGATCTTCTCTACTCATATTATCCTCCCAAGACAACAAACTCCATGTGGGAATATTTTCCTCTATTGGCATAATTGGCTTTTGGCCTTGCATTAACTCTGATGGCATATAGCCGGTCACAGAGCTATGGGTTGTACGATCAGCCCATAATGCAAATGGTAACAAACGAGGCCCTTGTCCAACCTTTTCCTTACATGATTTCACAATAGCTTTGATAATAGGTGGATGATCCCGCTCACTCTTCGCATTCCCTTTTGGATTATAAGCAGTGGTGAGAGACAACTTGACTCCACATCTCTCAAAGAAGTCACGTGCCTCTTGAGTATTCAACTCTCCTTGATCAGCGGTTATCTCCCAACACATCCATAACGACATACAACGTCCTCCAAAAGAAATCTGCAAACCCCTTCTGTTGCTCTTGATCGTAGTGCTCTCCCCTCCACTTGATTGGATAGATCCTCCTTTGCTAACACAAGATACCTCATCTGCCCTACTCCCATTGGCATGACCACCAAATCCACAACCCACTCATAATGGATAGCAAGTGGATATGTGAGATGCAAACCATCACGGTGTCGGATTACAGAATACATCTGACATGTCTCACAAGTCTCTACAAATCCTACCACATCCTTGTAGATGTTTTTCCACCGATATCTCTCTTTCAATTTTATGAAAGTGGCATATATACCCCTGTGGCATGCCCATAAGCTTTCATGAAACTCCCGCATCAACTCCTGTTGAGACTCCTTTCCACAAATCACACGTTGTGGCATGTCACCCTGCCGCTTCGGTCTCTTCCATAGGTATCCATCTTATAACATGTAGTTGTAGGACTTCCTTCTTACATGTTTGAACTCATGATCACTCCAACCATTTTTTCGTGCAAGTGTGCTGAGATATTTTTTGATATCTAACCACTCACTCTCATACAAATCCTCAAGAAACATCTCCAAACTTTGTGTTACTCCTTGCTGATGAGCCACAGAATAAAATGTCGTTCCAACATCATCAGTATTATCAATCATTTCTTCTTCTCTCTCATATCTAGCTCTTGACAACATATCTGCCACCTTGTTATCCTTTCCTGTCACATGCTTGAACTCCGGATTAAGCGTCTTGATGTATGCTATCCACCTCAACATTGCAATATCTGGTGTATTGCAATTGGTGATCATCCCCAACAACAGTAAACAATCCGTCTCAACAATCACATGTTCTCCAATCAGGTAGTTACTTTCCGACTTCATAGTTGTAACAACACCCCACAATTCCTTCTTGACCTGAGGATAATTTCATTGCCTTTCACTCAAGACCTTGGCTCGAAACCTCACAGCATATCTACTTCCTTCATCATCATGTCCCACTGCCCATCCTATGGCAATAAGATTGGTATCCACCGTCAATATCACGGGTTTGTTACCATGATATTCTATCCTTCGCAAAATTGGAGGTGATAACATACACCTCTTCAACTTCCTCATGGCTTCTACATGTCTATTATCCCATACAAACTTCTGATTTTTCCTTAACAACCCATATAACGGATATGTTATATGAGCATAGTCAGGAATCCATATGTGATAGAACACAACAGCACCTGAAAACCGCCTTACTTCTATCAAGGAGTTGCAGATTTCGCGCATCCTTTGAATAGCATCCAACTTGTTGGGATCTGGTTTTTGACCGTACCATCCACACAAATCACC